GACAAAAAAAAAAGAGGTCCCGCGAAAACAAACACCCCCTCCCCGTTTTTAGAACTTTCCGCTAAACACGCGCGCCCGATTGCTATTGGCTAGAAAACCTGCCGCCGCTTAATACGTAACCATTCCTAAACCAATCGGGGGACAGCGGTAAGAAGGGCGGTTTGTCCAGCGCGCGCGCGCGTTGTGCCCCACTTCCGGTTGGCTTTGTGCGGCCCGTTCAGAAGGCGCTTGGGCGCGCGAAGAACTGTTAATGCCGGTTGCAAAGCGTGCAAGAAGTTGTAGCGTTGCAAAAAGCGAAGCCGGGGCGCTACTGCGAAATTTGAGTCCAGTGGGCATTTCAGTTCCATTGAGTTTGAGGGGCTTTGCATCCAAGATAGATTTACTCGAGGGTCAGTCCTCACTGCGTGCTGGCTTATTTCTGAACAGATCTGCCTAGAGTGCACTTGTATGCACATAGGAGCCTGGGACATCTGCACTGATTATTGGTTAATTTGACATATGTAAAATACTTTTATTGCACCGTGCAGAAATATACATATTTCTGATGTGTGTGTGTATATACAGATAGTGCATTGCACGCATCACTTTTTAAATAGAAGTAAACTACACTCACCTGAGGTCAGAGGTATCAGACTCAGATCATCACAACAGCCGTATGAGAGGACTAGCTCATTAGCTGGAGGGCCACAACACCAAATCTTTTTCATACATTGATAGAAAAGTTTCTAGCAAATCAAAAATGAAGAAAATCAGTGTATTGTTTTTCAAAAGGTTTTACAGCAAAACAACTACAACACAAAAGTGTGAAACAGCCATTTCGCTCTGGCCCTTCAGTTGGCAACGTTTTTTGTTAATCAGAATATTAATATTTGATTTTATTATTGGGTTGATACGTATTTTTTTCCAAGATCTTGCCTAATATAAAATTTAGAAAACCCACCCCATTAAGAGTTGCCCAAATCCTGCTTTCGTTTTCCCTTTTTTAAATAATACAAACAGATACAATCAACACCATAATGTATCCAGTAATTCGTGCTCCAACACTAAAAACCGAAATAGAATATGCAATAAAATAGCACAATTCATAATCACAACAAGAGGAACATCACTGTACCACAAGTCCCAGGAGACATTGCAGCAAACGGGAAGAAGAGGGACTTAGGCAGAGAGTGGGGAAGGAGGCAAAATGGAGAAATATGAGTATTAAACAGAGTTATAATTTCGACGGTTATGAAATTATAACTTACTATGGAGTCTGTGACAAGAACCCTCTTAAGAAAGAATGCAACAATCACCACAGTAAACCCATTTAAAACATCTAATTTTCTTCTCGTAGGAGAGCCATATTAGGTAGCAAAACATCAGAAGTCTGGTAGTACTTTTTCCAACTAACTAATTTTACTAAAAGGCATAGGCTTTCATGAGATGCAGCTCACTTCACCAGATGCATAGAGTGGCTAGGCTGAAGTAGCATTTAAATTAGGGTGAGGGGGGAAAAGAGAGGGGAAGACAGGCTGGTTATGCAGATGCAGGATACATAGGAGACAGATTGCAAGTACTTTACATTTGTAATGTGTTAAATACCCTTTGGGTTTTTTGAGCCCTTTTGAGGGTGCCTGAAACCCTTTGATCCATGTGAGTTCAACAATATCTCCCCCAATAGTGCTGTTCAAGTTTTTTTTTCCCCCCCCCAAAATAGCTAGTTTGAGATCTGTAATGGATTGTTCTGGGTATTTGAAATGCTCTGATATTACTTTCTCCTTATTTGAGTCCTGATGTCAAATTTGTATCCATTAATTATTTTGCACAAAGTTTGTTCCATTTGTCCCATGGAGAACCCAGAGGGGCATTGGTAGCAGATGATGGCATATATCGCATTGGAGGAAGAGCACGTGAAGGCATCTCTAATCTTGTAGAGGCCTGCGATGATGCCATTGAGGTACATGTGGAGGCAAAATAGAGATCTAGGTTTTTTGCAAGGTCTGGTTTCCATGTTATGTCATTGTTAGGTTGTTTCTTGTTGCTTGGAGAATCTGCTTCAGGTTGGGTTGTCTGTCTGCCAGTATGGACCTGCTGCCCAGTACCTGAGAAAGTGCAGTGTCATTGTCCAGTATGAGCTGTAGCTTATTAATAATCAGTTTGAGCTGTAGGTGACAGCCAGTAGTGTTCTGTTGTTCTGTTTCTGTGCTCTGTCTTTTAAGAGATCCTCCCTGGGAACTGATCTGGCTCTACTGATTTGCCTGTTGATCTCATTGGGTGGAAGTCATGGGTCCAGATGATGAAAATGTCATCAATGACTCTCAAGTAAAGGAGGGGCTTCAGGGGGTAAGTTAAGAAAGTGAGTTGTTCTGGGACAGCCATGAACATGTTGGCATACTAGGAGCCATGTTTGTGCCACAGATTTGCAAGTATATGTTATCGCCAAAGGTGAAGTAGTTGTGAGTGAATACAAAGTCACACAGTCTGGCTTCAAAGTGTGCTGTTTCGCATTGACAGTGATGTTCTTTGATGGTTTGAAATCCATGTGTGTGGGGAATATTGGTATATAGTGCCTCAATATCCATGGTGGCTAAGATTTTGTGGTTAGGGAGATTGCCTATAGAGTTCAGTTTTCTTAAGAAGTCTGTGTTGTCTGTTAGGTAGCTGGGAGTGCTGGTGGCATAAGAGATGAGTACAGAGGCAATGAAACCTGAAGTTCCAGCTGTGATAGTTCTAGTGCTTGAGGCAATGGGACAGCCCAGGTTGCCTGGTTCATGTATTTTGGGAAGTAGGTGGAAGATGCTTGGTTGGGGCTCCTGGGGTGTTTCCAGTTAGATACATTCCTGTATGTATCTAGGAAATTCTTTAATCGGATTGTGTACATCTCCCGAATATTTTGTTATGGAATCGGAGGAGAGAAGTTGGTAGAATGTGGTGTTGGAAAGTTGCTTCTCTGCTTCCTTGACTTAATCCTCATTATTCATGATGGCAACTGTCTCTCGTTTGTCAACTTGATGAGCAGAGAGAAGTATCTTTCCTTTGGTCTTTTTTTCACTTGCTTTCTCTTTTCTCTCCTTGTCTGGCTCAGTACTTCCTTATGGCCAAGAGCTTGTGGGATACAGGTATTCCCCAGTTTAAGAAGGAGTTCCATTCCCAAGGTCTGTCTTTAAGTCGAAGTTGTATGTAAGCCAGAACAGTATTATTGTATAATACTGTATAAGTATATTTATATAATGAACTTGAACCATTGTGTATTTAACTCAAATTTTGCTACAGTAGGCTCCCTTCTTAACTCAGTGTCCTTAAACCGGGCATTCCTAACCCAGGGATTACCTGTACTTGGTTTGCTGGCTGTCTTCCCTGCTCCTTGTCAGGCAGAGACATCCTTGCAGCAAGGAGGCCAGTCCCAGCCCTCCTCCTACCTTCCCTTGGATGGCCCCAGCCTATTTGCCCATCTTCTCTGCCAAGGCCTTCTCTCCTTGCTGGCCTTGCCCAGTATTGCTTCAGAAACAACACCCACCATGGAGTACAAGAGCAGGTATTGGGTTCAGGAGGGCAGAGCAGTTCAGTCTGAGAAGTCTTGGGGCACTGACTGCACATCCTGGCCAACTGGCCACCACTATAGTCAGGAGACGTGCTGGGTGGGGCTGAAAGAGCTGTTGTACCACTCCTCTTCCTGGAGTGCTTCCTATGGCCCAGCTTGCATGTATATGAGACCATTGGTGCCCTGACCTTTTGAAAACATAGAGTTGGAAGGGACCTTGGAGGTCTTCTAGCCCAATGCAATGCCCTGTACAAAAATCTTCATATCATTCCAAACAACTGTCCAAACTTTACTTGAAAAACTCAACTATTGGAGCATCAATGATTCTAGGAAGCAGGCTTAATAGCTTTCCTAGTCAAGATATTTCTCCTTAATTTGAGTTTGGATTTCCCCCTGTAAAGTTTTCTACCCACTGGATCTTGTCCTACCCTCAGGCATTACAGAGAATAAATCCACACCCTCCGCCCTGTGTCATCCTTGTATGCATTGGGGGACTGCTGTCCTGTCTCTCCTTAGCCTTCTCTTCTTTAGACTAAACATAACAAGTTCCTTTAACCACTCTTCATAGGATTTAGCCTTCAAGCCCCTTACCATCTTTGTCACTCTTCTCTGCACTTTTTCCAGTTCCTCGGCATCCTTTTTATATTGTGTTGACCAGAACTGGACACAGTATTCAAGATGTGGTCGGAACAGTGCAACATAGAGCAGTACTATCTCTTCCCATGATCTTGACACTATACCTCTGTTGATTCAGCCAAAAACTGCATTGGCACACTGCAGCTGGGGCACATTGCTGGCTCATGCTTAATCTGTGGTCTTCTAGGACACCCAGATCCTTCTCTCAAGTACTACTGCTGAGACAGGTACCACCTGTCTTCTTCTGTGCACCTGTTTTTTCCTGCCTAAGTGTAGAACCTTAAATTTCTCACCATTGGCCAACATTTTGTTGGATAGGGCCCAGCATTCAAATCTGTCAAGTTACTTTTTGAACCTTGAGCCTGTCTTCTGAGGTATTAGCAATGTCTCCAGCTTTGTGTCATCCACAAATTTTATGAGCATCCCTCCTATCTCCTCATCTGAGACATTTATGACGATGTTGAAGAGTACTGGGCCCAGGACAGAACCCTGAGGTACCCCACTGCACATCTCCCTCCATGTGGACGTGGACCCATTAAGGACTGTGTTTGGCAACATTTATTCAGCCAACTGTGAATCCATCTGATAGTGGGATCGTCCATCCCATATTGTTCCAGTTTATCAAGAAGGTGGTCATGGTCTACTTTATCATACTTTACTGAAGATTAAGTATACTACAGAGCATTCCCTTGGTCCACTGATCTAATTGCATCGTCAAAGAAAGCAGTAAGATTTGTCTGGCACAACCTCCTTTTAGCGCATCCATGCTGGCTTCTGGTAATAATCTTGTTTGTTTCTAAGTCCTTGCAGATCCACTGCCTGACAATCTTGTATAGGATTTTCTGGGAGTACTAATCTTAAACTGAACAGGGTCTTAGTGACTACAAAGTATTGTGAGCCACAAAAAAGTATTTCAGTGGCCATATGTGACACATGGGTTGTGAATTTGAGAATCCTGCATTAACTCCAATTGTAAGAATGTAGATTTATAGAAACTAATTTTACAAACTTGTATGGCTCAGAGTGAGAGACATCTAGCTAATGCCTGCTTTCATATTAGGAACTGACAAACATTTTATGTGCAATAAATGCCCTACCACTTAGCTCATTTTTTCTTCCCTTTTGGCAATGAAACATGCTTATTTCCCTCTTTTATATTTTTATTTTTCACGCCTTGTTACAGTAATGTGTCATAATTGAGCAGTTTGAAAATGATTGGCTTTCAGCCACCAATTAAAGTTTGTCCTTGCGGGTTTAACAATGGGGTTGCATTAAAGTTTGTTTGACTGAATAAAGCCTCAGTTAATATGAAGGAACACACAGTAGTAATCACGTCCTATTTGAAACAGATTAAATTCATACATTACCATGGTCTGTGGTTCTTCCATAAGTGGCTCCAAAGCTATTCAGAGCCATGAAACCGAGAGACAGTCAAATCACTTTGTCAGCCCAAAACTCCCGAGAGAAGCCTGCTGGATTAGTAGCTGCATATTACTTCAACACTGGTGATTAGGTAATGTTTTCCATAATACTCAAGCAATATAATTTATGCACTCATGACCTTATGTGACATAGAGAGCTTTCTCCTCTGACAGAAGGGAATCACTAAAAAGTTTATACAGGACAGCCAACAGATTGCCAGGACTATCTGAAGCAGTTGACTTATGCCACTTAATGGCAGGATTAGCTCTGTTTTAAGCAAAGTATATTGGAAAGAATTTTGCCACCCAGTGATGTCACAAGCATCTTTTGTGACCTAGCCTATTGTGGTGGCTCTTCTTCATTCATCCTTCCCACGCTATTTTCTCTTTTCCCTCCAATATGTCTGAACCAAAATGCCACCTGGCAAGCAGAATAAGGTAGAGATTGAAAGAGCTGGAGACCTTTCCTTTATCTGCATACCTGCTCATGGTTCCTCCATTAGAACAGGTCTGTGCCCAAAGACTCCACCAAGAAAATGAGGTGGCATTCAGCCATTCTTGTTCTCCTTGCTTGCGGTGAGTTAGAACATTAATCTAACCTCTTCCTTACTGTCTGATTTTCCTCTTTCCTGGGTGGAGCTTTGATTGCACCGTCGTGGCTAGCATTTTGACTTTTTGACTATCCTTTGAGGACACCCCTGCTCCCATGATTAGACCAAGACAAGAGAATCTTCTTTTCAGGAATTTTGAGTACTCTTTTATTACACAAAAAGATGTCCTTGGAAGGTCAAAAATGTTAAATGTTACTATATGTTTACAGTAAGGGAAAAAAAGAAAAGAAACAAATGCATTCAGTGAGAGTGGAATCACTGAAAGCTCCTGGACAGCTCAGCATTCTTATAAACCTTGGTAGCCCACTCCTTGCAGAAAGATTAGAGAGGAGGCAGAGGTTTTAACATCAGTTTTGACAGGGTCAATAGTTTCCTGGTTTAAACTAGGCTGAATTTCAATCATAGAATCATAGGGTTGGAAGGGACCTTGGAGGTCTTCTAGTAGGTCTTTGTTTGGGGTTGGGTTTTGTGTAGGTGTGTGTGTGTGTGTGCTCTGTGTTCTGTATAATTACTGCTGTGTTAAAGCATTTTCACATGGCAGTAAAGGAACTGAGTAGACTCTCAGTTATAACAACAAACAAGGCAAAGCCTGCAGGGTAGGATTATCATCTAAAATATATATTACAAAAAGAATAGAGGATGAGGAGGGAAAAGGAAAACAAAATCAGGCACCAATCCTTCAAATTACACAGTCTTTATTATAACAAAAGAAAGAGGTTAACTGGGAAAAGAAACACAGTAAAGCTGGTCTTTTGGCACTCTCGATAGAACAGATCAATGAATGGTGGAGGAGAGGAATAGCCAAATGGATAGTGTGCCTGTCTTCCCAGTTCTGCTTCACTTCCTGAAATGAATGCTGTTCTCACACTCCTGCAGTTTGGAGAGACTTATTTCCAAGCAAGGGTCAGTCTTTTGAAGTAGGCAAAGTCAAGAAAAAGGAACAGCAGTGATTTCAGGAATGTTCTTCAAAGTTGTAGGATATTATAACAAAATCAGTCTCTCGCTACCACATCTTATATTCAGCAAAATCAAGGCAGGGTTATTCTGAGTTTCTTTCTCACACTTTCTCCTTTCCCAGGATTGACTAATCTTTCCTGAAATATCTTCCTTAAGGCATTCTATGATTCACAGAATCATAGGGTTGGAAGGGGACCTTGGAGGTCTTCTAGTAGGTCTTTGTTTGGGGTTGGGTTTTGTGTAGGTTCATTCATCCCATTTCCAGGGCCAAAGTTACATTCCAGCACAGTAAGTAGAGAGAAGATCGATTCTTGGCAGCTCAGTGCAACTGATGAATAATATTCCTAAAGCCATGCAGAACAAAGTCTCTTTACTTGCAATGTAAATACCTCTTGTCCTTGTTTGTCTTACGCAGCACTCTCAAAATGGCTTCTTGCAACAGACATACAGATACAAGATCCATCGCTAGCTGGCATGCCACTCTCAGATGCCGAATATGACCATTTCTTCAAAACCCTGAACAGTCCACGTCGAGTCAGTGCAGTTTGCTTCTTAAGAACCATGTACGGCTGCCAGAATGCCTTGATCCAAACTTTAGACCTATATGAAAATCATGGAATCGTCCCAGAAGGTAAAGTCCAGCACAGTTCTTGCAATTACAGAATTGTCTTACTTCCCTTTTAAGCTTATTAAAGCTCAACTTGGAAAGCCTGAGCTAGATTTATGCAAGTCTGTGGCTCTCTTGCAAGGCAGTTAAAATAATTTTTGCCAAACCTATATGGCAGATTCTTCTTGCTATCATTTTCACTGATATGTAATAAGTAAGATAAAAACTAATCTCCAATGCCAGCGCGAGGCAACCCATACATGTTCATGTGTTTCTTCTCAGAACTGATTTACTGAGTATGATCTGAATGCCTCGTTGATGTATGTATGTATGTGTGTGTGTGTGAATTCATTCATTCATTCATTCATTCATTCATTCATATTCATTCCTTAGCATGAAAGATAAGAGAATGCAAACTAGAGATTTGCAATGTATCTTTAAAATTTATCTATACAGATAATAGTAAAGTAGAGCCTATTTATGCCCTATATACTATACAGTGGATCTTTCACCCTACTAACTACAGACAGGAAAGGGAATGATCTGTGGGGAGGAAGGATAATCACCATTAGCTAAGTTATTTTAAAGGTTTGCTGACACAGTCAGCTAGCAACAATATCCACTGTTTTATGGTTAAAGTAAGATATCTTTGTAAGATTGGAGGAAGAGGATTGGACTAGATTGACCTCAAAAGGCTTTCTTCAGCTTAGAATCTCTTAGCTGTAAGAGGTCAAAACTGTTACTCTAGTCCTTCACTTAAGTGAACAGCACAATTACTGCCAGGAGTCCCCAAAGAGAGCAAATAAGGCAGAATAGGGTTCATCCTTATGTCTCATGCAGGTTGTCTATGGTCACAGGACGAATGCAAAAGAAAACAAAAGGCAGATTGACTTTTGAGTAAGAGGCCAACCTTGATGGCATTTTGGAGGGACTTAAAGATCTGGCTGTTCTCCCAGGCCTTGGGGTAGGGTGGTTGGAGCTCTTGTTGCTGTATGATGTTTGTTTTATTGAGTTTGTCATCTGCTTACTGTTATGTAGACTGTTATTTTTATATTGCTTATATTGTGAGCTGTCCAGAGTCAGTCTGGAGTCAGGCAGCTCCTAAATCAAACAAACAAATGAACAAATTTGGGCTCTGGGAAAGATGATAGAATGGTGTGGGGGATTCTGCGAAAATGCCAGCAGGGTTGCATGCCTTCTGAAACTCTCAAAGCCTCACACATATAATTCCTAGGAAATTTAAAGTGTCAGAAGGGGAAAATTAATAAGTACAAGAGTGTTAGGTATACACATTCATTCATAACTGAATTAACTAATGTATGTTTATTGTAATTCAAATTAAATAAAATATAGGTTTTGTTTAGGCCTAAACAAAAGTAGAGAGTGGCCTTTGATGTTCCCCTGAAGGACCAAGCTGATCTGAAAAAAAAGCTGTGCCTCCACTGTATTTGTAAAGAAATCAAATGTTATAAAGTGCCAAGAACTTTCCAATGGCTTCTTTCCAAAAGATCTGGATAAGTGTTCCTTCAACACAATTTTTCACAGCTTGAAGAAGCCAGTTGCATATTTAATAATCCAGCACAGATGTTGAAGTTGCAACCTGGCAGGACGTCATGGAATTGCTTTAATATTTGGTAACCCAGAAGTTGGAGGGAAACCAAAGCCCACTCAGTTGAATTCTCAAAAGCTGGCAGAGACTATAATGGTACAACAGTGTTTATTGTGGTATATACTGGGGCTCAGTGAAAATTAATGGAAGTAACCTGAAGGCCTTGGTAAGTTTTCTCTAACCCTCTGCTTCTTTCCTAGGGCCTGTATGTTCTGACTTGGCAGAAATGCCCACTTTTCCAGACTTCTGCACCCTCACTTTTTATCGCTGCACCTTGAAGAAGTATTTTGTGAAGGTAAGGAAAAGGAACAAGCATGTGTTTGTTGATCTGAGGCATTTCTTTCCAGTAATCTGCATAGAAAGCACTTTTAGTGTTAGAACTAGAATGGGCAGAAAGATTCACTGAAGGGAAAAGATAAGGTCCAGCACAGGAATAGCAACAGAAAAGGGAATGGAAGCAGCTAGGCCTTATTGAGAACATTTGCTCATTGAGTAAATAGGATTTTCAATGCATTTATTTGTTTTACTTCCAAGATGGTCAGTCTAGTTATGTGGGTGAGTAGGGTATCTAGACTGAGACCTTAGCCATCTGTATCCAGCGCTCCAACTCCTCCATCAGCTGCATAGCATGGGTGATAAGACTCCATCTACTTCTCACTCATCCCCATGTTTCAGCCTCACCATCCTACACTTGTCTAGTCTATTTTTTAGTGGGCGTGACCTTGCAATCTAACACTCTTTATGGCAGGAGCTGAAAATTCTCACCACCCCATTCCACCAAAATGGTCTAGGTATCTCAGAGTTCTAATATATCTCCAGTATTCCTCTGATCCTGGATAAAGAATTATACTATTAGAATAGGAATACAGGAAATTGTTTTACTGATATTTATCTATTCTGATCCAGTATTGTTTACTAAACTTGGACCACTGTCAGCCTTGCGAGGTGGTCCAAACAAGAACACCACCTAAATGAAGCACACATTAATAGAATCTTGCAAGCCTGAAAGTACATTTCTCCCCCATCATGTTTACAGCCCAAGAAACTAGGGAGGGTTCCTTCTGAGATGTTTGCCATGCCCACATTCCTGCTGTGGGCTAAGCTGCCTCTTATCCAACTGTTCCCCTGGCTGCAGCTCTTCCCCTGTCTCCCAAGGTCATTCCCATATACCATTACAGTCACTCTGGATGCATGGACCTCAGCTCCCAGAATTCTCAGCACTGACCATTCTGTTGTTGAAAACCATATATCTGGAGGGTGCCCAGATGCTCTCTCTGCCTCTACATGAGTAGCGGCACTTATGTCTCAGAATTCTGGATCAGCATCATCACTGACCATTGTACTCTCTGCTCCTTTGGAATCACCAATGTGGAGAAGCTTAGTCTAGGATCTCCTGAAAAATGTCAGAAACTAAGCTTATAACTTTGTGTGTGCAGAATATATGCTGAACAACAGTGTTTCCCCATGGCGTCATCACATTTGCAGTCAGGAGGAGATGCCAGTTTCTGCATCACTGGCTCCCAAGGTGATTCTCTCCATGCTATGCACAAGCATCACTTTCTGCTCATGGGGAATGAGTCCAAGTGCCCATTTATTACCAAGGGCACTTGCTAATAAATAATGGCTTTCTGAATGACAAGGGTTCAAGGAAATCCGATTTTTTTATGAGAGAGAAGGGAAGAAGTACAGGAAAGGATTGCCAAGCAAGGGGTCAGGTCAGCCATATTATCAAGTCAAGTAAGATACCTGCCTTGAGGATAAATAATGGGATGCCATTAAGGAGAATGCTAGAGGTGAAATTGATTATGGCATTCACTTTGGCATTAATTTTAGAAAAATAAGTAGCGACTTTCTTTAATCCAGCATCACTTTATGTGAGATGGGCAGCTATATAAATACAATAAATAAAGCCATTGTTATGATCTTACATGTGTGCACACACGCGCGCACATGTACACATCTACCAGCTGTCCTGCATCTGCAGTTTACATTGGAAAGAAAGCTTTTACTGGTACTAATAGAAGTTTTCCTCTTGAAATACATTACTCCCTTTTTTCGAACATTACTATTGCACAAAGGCTAATGAGATTATTACCATACCTAATCTGACTCCAAAAAGCAGAAAAATGTTTTTAAAAACAGAAAAGAACAAAGACCAAGAGGAAGTGCTGCAGGCCCCAACATGTCTTGGTCATTCCCCTTGGGGACAGTTCCAGGCTCTACATTTTATCCATGGCAGAAGTCCTCTGTTTTGCAAAGCTACATAGTTCAGTCAGGAAAGTGTCCTCCACCCCTGGATCCCTAGGCTGACAAAACCTGTGCCTCGTGAGTTCCTGCCTTTCAGTTGTTAAAGGGATAGGAAACTGGCGGGGACCTGAATCACTTACGGTTTGCTTCATGAGTGGAGAAAGGGAAATGCTTGAAAGCAAGAAGTCAATAAAGAAATGAGAGCACAATCAGAAGCACTTGACATTTCTGGACAAAGCACTTTAGAACCCCTCTAGAGATGTCCCAGAGCAGTCTTTTCTCATGCAGAAGAAAATCAGAGGGACCGTAGCTTAGCAAAACCTTAACAGCCCAAAGGTGTGATTTCTGCTTTGCGTTTTTTTCCTCTGTAGCGGATTCAATGTCCAGATAAGATCAATGAAGCCCCTGCAACAACACAAAACACCAACCAAGAACCTGGAGACACTGAATCATCATCTACCCTACAAGAGACACTGCTTATCAGCATTCTCCCCACCACTCTCTCTACCACCGAAACACCTCCTGCACCTGTCACCTCGGCATCAAACACTCCCACAGCAGCAACAGAAGCCATGACGACGACTCTTCCAGCCACTGCCACTGGAACCGTTCCTGAACTTCCCACTGTTATTTCTGCTGTTACTGCCTCTATGGAACCTCTGGATCCCACGTCTTCTACTCCTATCACAACTGACTCAGAATCCTTGCTTGAGCTTCTCACCGGCCTTGATGCAGTGATAGCCGAGCAGAGTTTTCCTGAATTATTTACCACCACTGGTACTACTCCTACAACAACGGATATGTCCTTTTCCCAGCACCTTACTTTTTTGACTGCTGTGCCCTCTCCAAGCCCTGTCCCTACACTTCCTTCCACCTCCAGTGCTATGACTGCCGCCCCAGTTATTTCTGTATCAGTTGTCCCAGTATCCCCATCTGAGCCTGCCACCACTGAAGCGGCAATATCATCTACGAGTACCACTCCCACAATGATGGATGAGTCCTTTTCCCAGCACCTTACCTTTTTGGCTACTGAGCCTTCTCCAAGCCCTGTACCTACACTTCCTTCCACCTCCAATGTTATGACTGCCACCCCAAGTATTTCTGTATCAGTTGTCCCAGTATCTTCATCTGAGCCTGCCACCAGTGAAGTGGCAACACCATCTATTCCCACAAACCCTGCCACTACTGTTGCCCCAGCCAGTAGCCCAACTTCAGCACCTTCTAGTTCCATCATCATTGTCACTCCCACAGCCACATCTACTAATCAACCCTGTTCTGTTCTCCCTTTCTCCTCATCTTCTACTGCTTCCAAAATATCCATTCTATTGACCAAGCCTGCCACCCCTAAAACACCTGCTCATTTATCCCCTCCTAGCAATGTTGCTCATTGGCCTGTTGTCCCAATCTCTGCTGTTCTTGGACAGTATCCCCTGCAGCCCACCCCTATCATGCAGCTTTTTGTTCTTCCTTCTGGCTTCGGTCCTAGGAAGCCGAAACTCCAGGGTGCAATTGCCGTCTCCCCTCTGCTACCGATTATAGCAGGGCCTGCTAATATCTGGCAAAAGAAAAAGATTCCTGAACCCCAAGCGAACTCACCAACTACTGCAAAAGTGGAGAACTTCTTACAAATGAACTCACCAACTACTGCAAAAGTGGAGAACTTCTTACAAATGAACTCACCGACTACTGCAAAATTTGAGAACTTCTTCTTACGGCTGCGGGATAGTCGAGTGCAGCAGATGATGCAGAAAATGCGAGAGTTGATGGGTAAAGGGAAAGCTGTAAAGAAACAGCTGTTGCAGTCTACCTCTCTGCAACTGCTTGGTGCACTGAAAAATGCCAAACAGAAGTCGTCTACGGTTTCATTAGTATCCAAAAAGCAACTTCAAAGATGACATAGCCACACGGACAGATCACCTCTTTTGTACAGAAGGCAGGACGCTAATGGGTGGATGTTTTGCAGCACAGTTCCATGAGAACTTTCAGATACTTGGTTGTGGTTCACCTGATTCCATTCCTGAATTCTTTCTAAGATGTTCCCTATCACTTTGAGATGATGGGATCAAACTAGAAAGACTTCTCTCTGGAGATTTGAAGGACTTGGAATTCTCTGAAACAGCATTAGAGAGGGTGCTTCCAGACCCCACTTTAACCTCTGCTAAAATGAAGAATCTCATTGTTAACTGGGCCTTCCTTTAACTGAAAGGTATCTGATTTCTGAATGGAGGAGACAGATTATTTATTCTTAATTTGGGTTTTGAGACTGGACATTAAAGAAATATTTTGCAGAATTGAGCAGAGCTAATTCACAAATTCTGCAACCCAGAGTGGTTATCTTCAAGTAATTTATTTTTCCTTGCAGGAGTCTTTGGAAAACTTTATTTCCCATAACCTTCCTCACTCAGGCTAAACTCGCAGGGCAACAGTGACAAGGAAGGGAAAAAACCTCTTCCCATTTTTTGCTTGTCAACCAATCATTGCGGTTGCTGCTCCTGCATATCTACCAGTTGAAGGGAATGGGGTGGTCAGGCAACATTTGGAGATTGGAAAGAATAGCAAAGATGTGCAGGATGGGGAGGACTGGGAATTCTTCAGGAGCTTTCAGTGTGAGCTGGAGGAGAATTCAGGGTCTTGTAAAGCTCGCCTCTCAATTTGAGATGGATTCTAAGAGCTCTTGGTTAGTTTCCATATTTGACCCAAGAAAATTGCTAGAATCTCTGCATAAAACTAGCTATTTAGCATCATGTTAAATCCTAGCTAAATGCATATATATATATATATTAACCTGTGTGGTACCAAATGCAAGTAAACTAATGGAAATTCACACACTATGCTTTATACACTGCTATTTTGGCATGTGACATCTTTACGAAAAATGATAGATTGCAAGTCTTTTGGTCATTTTATTAAACTTGTAAGGTCTGTTTGGCACCAATATGCACAGCACAATTACTTTTTCTCTATGTACTTAGCCAGCATTGATGGGGTTCTTCATACACTTGTGCAGGCTCTATCAGAGGATCTCTGTACATGTGTGCACACACACACAGTTGGGCATATGCCAAATGGATGAGTTGGGTAGTGAGCTGCTAGGTATTGCTGCAATGGGTTTATAACCCCACACTTTTTGAATGGGGATGGACTCTTCTGAATTTCTTCTCATGGGTGGCCTTCTATATTGTATATATTTTGCTTCTTTTTCAACAGCAGGTGAAATGCTTCAGGGAAACCTTTCCTAAGTCAGATTCTTAAGCAAGGCAGTTCTCTGGAAATCTTTTAAGTTATTTGCATCAGATCCATTTTTATGGCCTCTGTGAAGGAATGGCTGGATGAAGGCTGCGCTTGAGGAGC